AAAGGAAAGGAAAGGAAAGGAAAGGAAAGGAAAGGAAAGGAAAAAGGAAAGGGAGAGAAAGAAAGAAAAAGGAACAAGCAAACAAACAAAGAACCCCCCCATCTATCCCTGCCCCAGGGCTGTCCTCAGCCCCCAAGGCAATGATAGAGCAGCACAGCAGATCAGCCCTTGCTGAGCCCTCCTGGCTGAAGGACACCCCCRTCTCTCTGGCACTGCCCTCCAGGGACACGTTCAGTGTCAGTCCTGCCTGTTCTCTGATGCTTTGCACCCTGAGCCATGATTAACCTGCCCTGTGGAAGCACCGAAGCAAAGTGATGGCCGAGGCCCATCCAGCTCATTCCCCATCCAGGAGGAAATTACATAAATGTGTACAGGTTAATTTAGGTTAGATGTTAGGTGTTAGGTGTTAGATGTTAGAGATTAGAAAAAAATTCTTCACTGGAAGGGTGATCACACATTGGAATTGTCTGGTAGAGTCACCATCCCTGAAAGTGTTTACAAACAGACTGGATGTGGCACTCAGGGCTGTGGTTTGGGTGATGAGGAGGTGTTGGGTCATGGATGGACTTGGTGATCTCGAAGGTCCCTTCCAGCCTGGTTTATTCTGTGATTCTGTGATTCTGATTCTGTGATTCTGCGTGTGACTCTGTGTGTGTGACATGTGAGTGACCCAGGGTCTCTCAGCTGCTCACCCGGGCTCCCAAGCCACCGTGGCCCTCATTGTCCTCAGGTGGCCCTGGGTGTGCTGCAGCTGCCGGTGCAGGTGCTGCAGGTGCTGCTCCAGTGCTCGGTTGCTCTCCTGCAGCTCCCGGTTTTCCGTGCTGGTGCCTTGCTGGGAGCTCTGCAGGCTGCGGCAGCGCCGCTCCAGCTGTGGGGTCACAACCAGGACATTGTCAGCCCCCCAAAATCCCCAAACACAGTCATTAATCRCCATCTCCTCTAGACCAGGGGCTGGATTACCCCTCCCTGAGGGTGGAAACCCAACTTGTGGTGGGGGATGGATGGGAGGGTGGGGATAGGGGTGGCAAAGGTGGCATTGKGGGTCGTGTGTGGCAAGGGCTGGTGGGGACACATAGGATCAGCTGAGCARCACTGAGGGGGTGTCACAGCCCAGCCCAGAGACCCCCCCAAATGCACAAAGGGGGGGTTTGAGGCCAGCCCAACCTCCAGAGACTCCTCAAACACACAAAGGAGGAGTCTGGGGTCACCCCAACCTCCAGAGACCCCCAAGTGCACAAAGCGGGGTTTGGGATCAGCCCAACATCCAGAGACCCCCCAAATGCACAAAGGGGGAGTTTGGGGCAGGCCCAACCTCCAGAGACCCCCAAATGCATAAAGGAGAGGGTTTGGGGTCAGCCCAACCTCCAGAGACCCCCAAACGCACAAAGGAAGGGTTTTGGGGTTGGCCCAACCTTCAGAGACCCCCAAATGCACAAAGGAGGGGATTTGGGGTCAGCCCAACCTCCAGAGACCCCCAAACACACAAAGGATGAGGTTTGGGGTCGGCCCACCTCCGTCTGCGCCGAGACCAAGCGCTGCACCTCCCTCTCGCTGGCATCCAGCGCTCGCTGCAGCTCCTCACCCTGCTGGTGGCTCCGGGCCGCGCTCTGGGGTGGCACAAGGACATTGGCACCCACTCCTCCATCGGGGGCTGCCGAGGGGGTTTGGGGTGCTGGGTGCCCYCGGCGTGGGCAGCAAGGGCAGAGGAGCAGCCGGTGACCCGGGGACCCACCTGCTGCTGCAGCCGCAGCTGCTCCTGCTGGATCTGCTGCTCCAGGAGCTCGCAGAGCTGCTGCACGTCCTTGTCGTGCTCAGCCACCCGCCTGTGGGGACAGCGAGGTCAGACCCTCCTCCAGGGGATGCCGACCTTTGGGACCCCACACTGCCCACGGGRGCCGCAGAGTGCGGCTGGGATTGCCTGGAGGGGGTCACCCAGCGCGGMTGAGTCCGGCAGGCCGAGTCCGGCCCTTTTGCCATCCCATCCGTGACTGTAGAGGGAGCCCGACCCCAAACATCGGCGAAACCTCTGCTCCAGCCGCTGCTGGAGACGCTGAAAGCACTCGGGTTTCTCCCCACGGCTGGGGTGGCCCTCCAGGGCCCCATCCCTGTCCCCATCCTCCCYGTCCTACCCCTACGCACTATCCTGGGGTGACTCACTTGTTTAGAGTCATCTCCAAAGCCTCCTTCTTGCTCCTGGTGTCTTGGATGCGGTTCCTCATCTTGGCCAGGAAATCCTCCAGGTTGTCCAGGAGCTGGGGCTCATCCTGCCGGAGCTTCACCCACAGCTGCCAGATCTCCTGTCTGCAGGGAGTGGGGTTTTTGGGGTGACCACCCCCCAGAACCCCCAAAGCCAGCCCAGCTGTGCAGTTTCACTCACACTTTTTGAGCTGTGTGAGRACAGATGAGCTTTGGGGTCGCTGTGACCCCATTCCCTGCTCCTGTGCTTGAGCCAAAAGTGCCTCCAAGGCATTTCTGGGTTCCCTGCCCAAACCTTTCCCCCTCCATCCACCCTGCAGGATCCCACGGGTGCCAAGCAGGGCACTCACTCTTCGGAGGCGTTGTCTGTGCCCAGCTGCTCCATGAAGGCTGCAAAGTGCCTGCGCTCCTCGCTGTCCGCCCTTTCCAGCTCCGGCCGGGGCAGCACCAGCCGGACCCTCCTCGACGCTGTTTTCCGGCGCCGGTGCTCCCTGGCAGCGCTCTGCGAGCTCAGGAACTGCCCTGCTGATGGACATCCCAAATCCTCAGTGCCCAGCCGGGCCAGCAGCAAAGCCCAAACCCCGACACCTCCCCCTCTGCGGCTTCAACAAAGCGCTTTGGCACACGGGACCCCGCACCAGGTGAGACCTAGGCATGGGGAGGATCGCTCGATCCTGTGCCCCACAGCGAGGGCAGCATTTCCCCAGAGCCCACCAAGGGACAAGGGGCTTGCACTGATTTATTTCTCATTTCCCTCACAGCCGGGATCAGACTTACGGAGCCCGGCCGTGAACTCCTCGCCTCGCAGCCGCCCGGTGCCGGCGGCATCCAGCCCGTCGAACACGAGCTCCAGCTCCTCCGTGCTGCACGGGAAACCTTCCTCCTCCCGCAGTTTCTGAAACCAAAGCACAGCAGGGTAAAAAAAMCCCATCCACCACACCATCCCCAGCCCCTGGAGACAGCGCCATCCTCACCTGCATGTCCGAGCGGGTGACACATCCCGCCCGCTCCGCGCCCCGGCTGCTGAGGAAGTGCTGCACCCTCTGCTCTATCTCGGATGCCCACGGTGGCTCCTCGCCGGGGCTGGGTGCCGGTACCGGGGCCTCCCCGGAGCCCTCCCGCAGCTGCTTGCGCCGGCTGGAGCCCAAACGCCGGCCCTTGGTGGCCGCCCGGCGCTCGGACATGGCCCCGGACACCGGAGGAGGCTGAGCCTCTCCGCGCTGTGGACCTTTGCTCCAACCTGGTAGGGGACAGCGGAGAGGGACCCAGATGGAAATCCGTGTTGGCAGAGCAGGGTTTGGCAGCAGGAAGGGCAGCCCCTCTCTCCCATTGTCCGGCGCCAGACGATCCTGGACCAGCAGCAGCAGCGGCTGCTCCCTCCAGCCTTCCCGGGGCTCCCAGCCCAGCTCCCACCCGGCGAGCAGCCCCTCCTGCCACCAGCCAAACATCCACCCCAAATCTCCCCAAGCTCTTCCCCGGCCGTGGAGGATGCACAGAACACCAGCAAGGGCCACCCGGGAGGTGACACAGCCGGGAGGTGACACAGCCGGGAGGTGACACCAGCAGAGGAGCAGCCAAGGCGATGCTGGAGGTCTGAGCGAGACGTGCTGCTTCCACCTGCCTTCTCAGAGCTCAGCTTTTCAAATTCCTCCCCCACTTTTCACAGTTGTGAGTCACCTCCGGGGAGAGGGCGCGGGGCTCCGGCAGGTTTCCATCGTGCTGCTGCTCACCCCGACTTGTGGGGCCTGGCCTGGGGACCCCCCGTGCCCTGTCCCCGGCCTGGGTGGGTGGCTGTGTCACCAGCAGCCACAGTGCCATCCCTGACAGGGGTTGTTCTCTGTGTGGCAAAGCTGAAACACCGAGGGAAGGAAACGGCAGCCGTGGGGAGCAGTGACGCAGAGCCGGGGCTGTGCTCCGTCCGGCTGAGCCCAGCTCTCCACTCCCAGTCCAGGGGGACCCCCGGCTCCCCCAGCCCTCTGGCCCCTTCCTTTTCAGTGAGAAAGAGAGATCCTGCTGTGAATTGGAAATGTGGGAACAGGCCCCAAAACCAGCCCCAACCCCTTAAATCAAGAGGGTCTTGTGGGTTTGCTGGAGTCCCACAGGACCAGAAACACCTTTATGGTGGTTCCAGGCTCTGAGACAGCAGARGTGGGAGCTCTGGGGGTTGTTTCAAGCCCCTGGTTACCTGTGCCAGCCCCAGGGCAGGTGAGTTGAGCCCACAACGTGAGGGAGGCACTGAAAAAGGAGCGGGGCTGGGATGGGAATCGTGTTCCCTCAGCCAAGCAGGGCCCCCACAGCATCACCAGCTCCCGGTGTCTTTCCTCTCTCTCACAACACCCTGCACTGCTCCCAGCCTTCAGAAAGGGCCCCCAGGCACAGTCCCCCCCCAGGCAGCCAGAAAAACCCCCTTGGATCACCAACAGCAAGGATAAACCCTTATTTCCCCCATTTTTCTGTTTCTTAAGGTGATGCCCGAGCTCTCCACGCAGCAGCACTTACCCTTCCCGTGTGCCGAGGGGGATGCTCAGGGTTGGGGCACACGAGGCCAGGGGTCTGCCCGGCTCAGGGGGTGCTGCTCCCACCCCGAGGGCACCGCATACACACCGTGCCCAGCTCTCCTCTCTCTTGCCCAAGGCACCTTCCGTTTTCGGCTGACACTCAACTGCCGGTGCTCACACGCTTCCTGTGTGCTGCGCTGCAAGGGGGGTGAGGGAAGGACCCATCCAGAGAGCCCCCAAACCCCCCCCAGATCCCCAGGCAGCTCTGCAAAAGCACTGCCAGCACCATCGGGAAGGGCAGGAACGTCCCCATCCTTTCCTTTTCTGCGATGCTCCGGGGCTGGGAKGTGTTTGGGATGGGGGAAAGACTACAGAGAAACAGAAAATGTTGTTTTAAGACCCTAAATAACCCAAACTACAGGACTGTCTATAACCCACTGGTTATAACACCCTGCCAAAACCAGAACAACCTGGAAATCCCTCCTGTGGCAGCTCTTGGAACACAGAATTTGGAGATGTCCCCCCTATGCAGTTGTGTGATGCTTTTTTTAAGGCTCCTGCCTGAATTGTAAACTTGGAACCAAACCCATGGGCTGCAGCCACTCTGATTCCCAAACGCCCAGCAGGATCAGAAGGATCACAGGCTTTAGAGCTGCAAAATGTGAGGAGAACTCAGGCCAGAGGAAACGCTGTTGTCTCTATGGCACAACTCGAACATCCCCTGGCTCACAGCAKATCAGAGCCCAGGCTCCCGGGGCAGGAGCTGTGGGGTGGAAGCTGCTGCCCCAACTTCTGCCCATCAATCCCTCCCTGGGAGCCAGCCACCCCCTGCTCCTTTGCTGTTTGACCTCAGGAAGCAGCAGCCAGCTCAGCTCCATCTTTTATAAAAGCTCAGCTGGTTCTTCTCTACCCTCTGGACAAAGCTGGTGCCACTGACCCCAAACTGAAACACCCCAGGGTCAGGCTGGGGGGCTCAGCTTGCAAACCCCACCTGAGTTCAGCTTTTCTCCTCACCCTGCAACCCCTGCATTGTTTGTCACTGCACAGGGAAAGATGGGGTTTGGCTTTGCTTTCCCCAAGGGTGCTGCTGAAGGGAAAAACCCAAAATATTGGGCAGCGAGTGAAGGGATTGGCACCGGTCAGGGGAGGGCACAGCCCGGGAGGGAGGGGATGAGCCAGGAGGGAAGGTGTGATCCTGGAGGGAGGGTGTGAGCTGTGATCCAACCCCCATGAGGCGCTGGAAGGTGTCAGTGAAAATGGATTGAAGGTGGAGAATGGAACCAMCAGACCCTCCCCCTGCGGGGGTTTGACCCTCACCCTCCCTGCTCTGTGCTGGGTGAGAGCAGCAAAGCACAACCCGGGCTGCAAGTGGGAGGTTTCCATCCATTCCTCAGCTGCTGGAGCCCATCATTCACGGTGCTTTGTGTCCCAAAGCTGGAGGGACACGGTCCTGCAGTGGCCCAGGGACTCAGAGCTCAAGCCCTGGTGCCCAGCTCCCTCTGGCACAGCAGAGCTGGACCCTGGCTCTGCCCAGAGCCCACAGACAGGGGCAAGGGGCATTCACTGATCTATTTCTCATTTCTATTTTTCATTTTCTTCATTGCCACTGCTCCTGGCAAGCAGGAGGTGACAGCAGAGGGGAGCTCCTGGCAGCAGCCAGGGGGGCTTGGCAGGACTGACATGAGGGCAAAGATTACAGGGGCTAAATCTGTAGGGTTTGGCTCAGCAGCAGAGTCAGCTCAGAGGCTCAGGGATTGTGTGTCAAAGGACAGGGGCCTGCACAGGTGTCACCCCACCCTGGGGACAGGCAGCTGCTTTAGCGATCCAACAGTGACAGAGGATTGTTCATCACCATCATCTTCATTTTCATCTGGATCCTCTGCACATCAGGGCATTCCTCACATTAATCTGACCCTGAGCCTGCACCCAAGCCCTGCTCAGTGCTCCGAGGAAACAGCCAGGGGTAGAGCCATCCCTGACTGCCAGGGGACCCCAGGGCCACCCAGGACAGGCCACATTTCCTYCAGCAGTGCCCCACGTGCTCTYSTGTCCCCACCCCACAGTGTGGGTCACCCTKCTGGGCCTGGGCACCCAGCACCCCWTCAGAGGGAAGGGAGGGRAGCATTGCCCRYGGCTCATGGCCACCYGTGCCATRGGACAGTGAGCTGAKRGTGGGGAGGGACAGGGCCACAGCRGGGAATGGGGMATGCTGGGGACAGCAGAGGAGCCACCTTCACACAGGGACCCTGCAGGGACATCCCACAGCRTGGCAGTGGCTTCTGCTGGGACATGGGGACAGCRCTGTYCCCCCAGTGGGGGAATGGGGCCAAGCACAGAGGTTGTGCTGAGGTTTTATCCCTCTCAGCCTCTCCCAGCTCAAGGCTGCACCCCCAGGACCCGCAGATCCCCCAGCCAGACCCCGCTCCCAGCAATCCACACAAAGCCAGAACTCCCTTACACAAGTGTTTATTCAGAATTAACACAGACAAACAGGTCTTTCCCCTTTCCCCACATACACTTAATAGCATTATTTTAAATATAAATTAACATTTAGTGCTGGGAGCTCAGCAGCTTCACCGACAGCAAAGTGCATCGTGGTGCAAGGCGGGAGATCAGYCCTGTCCCTTTTCTTCCTGGGACCATCTTGCACCAGTTTCCAGAGTCCAAATCCAGCAGAGCAGGAGATGAACCCCACAAAAGTGCTGAGACCTGGCAGTGCCAAGCCCCTCAGGAGCAGGGACTTGTCCTTCAGTGCTGGAGCTGAGCAGCCRCTGCTCCAGGCCATCCCTTGGCCCCAGAGCAGAGCCAGCTGAGGGTCCTCTCCCCACCAGCCCCAAAGGAGAAAAAGTCCAGGAAAACAAGCTACAATTCCTTATTCCAGCATCATCCCTGCTGGCGAGCTGGACTTATTCCTAGAGGAGCCCAAGAGAGGCAGAGCAGGGGCTCYCCAGCCTGGTGTCAGCGTTGGGGGAGGCACGGACGTGGCAGCACCACCCAACAGCACGGTAAAGGGAGCAGGATTTGGGGCCAGCTGAGAGCAAAGGATCCCAAAGCCTCCCAGGCAGTGCTGGTCCCCTGTGGCTGTTCCCAGAGTCACCCCGAGGAAGGGCTGTCCAGGGAGCAGCTCTCTCTGCCCGCAGCCTCCACTCCCACACATGGGCAAGCGTCCATCCTGCAGGGCCACAGGGCCACCCCCAAGTGCCAGCAGCTGGGGTGTCCTCGGCTCTGCGGTGTCCCAGGGCTCTACAACCCACACCAGTGACTTTTCTTAAAGAGATCTGGTGCCACCAGGTGGTTGGGACAGCGGTGKCCCCCAGGCAGGGGACAGCAGGATGGCACAAGGACGGTGCTTGGCCCCACCAGGCCCATGTCAGTCCTCCTCCAGCTCCTCCTGTACATTGCACACAGTGAAGGTCCCTCAGGACCCCAGAGCTATTCATAAATAGGGAACTACAGACTCTACATCGCTTGGTACAGCTCAGCTTACACAGCTCAGGGCGGGGGCACCGCGGCCACCGCCGCCATCAGCAGCTGCCCCCGCGCTCACGGCCTGGGCCGGGCAGGGACGATCCTCCTCTTGGCACTGTAGAAGTCTGGAGGGAAGAAGGAAAGGGTTAGAAAGTGTGTCCAGCCTGCTGGGAGCAGGGGGCAGGGAGGGGGAGGTGTCCCAAAATCAGCCCAGGTGGGTTCCACCCTGGAGCCCCCTCCCAAAGCTGCTGGGGAGCAGAGCTGTAGGGTCTGCACCATCTCCTCTGTCTCACCTGCATTTCCACTCCCAGCCCTCACCTTGGAAAACAGAAATCTCTCAGGATGAATTTTTTTGCCGTGAGGGTGGTGAGACAGTGGCACAGGCTGCCCAGGGAGGCTGTGGACACCCCTGGAGGGGTTCAAAGCCAGGCTGGATAAAGGCTTTGAGCACCCTGCTCTAGTGGGAGCTGTTCCTACCCATGGGATGACCTTAATTCTGTGATTCTGTGATTGGGTCAGGCCATTGGAACTGAAGGTGATGAATTTGGGGGCATCTTCASCTACAAACCCCAGCAGCCCAATGCCAGCCCCCTGCACACCCCCAGCAGCCAAAAGGCACCTTCTTGGTGGCCTTTTCCCCTCGGAGGGTGGGCTCTGCTTTCCTGACAGAAATCCACAGGGGGTGATTCCCTCCCCATGCCCAAGAGCCAGGAAGGGCTCTGCCACCCAAATCCCCTCTGTCTGTCCCTGCTGTGACATCAAKGCCACCAGGRAGTGACACSGACCCCAGGGAGTGACACCAARCCCCCAGGGAGTGACACCAARCCCCCAGGGCTCACCTTTGATCGTGGTCTGCCCACGCTTCAAGCTCTGTGGGGAGCCAGCCTTGTAAACCTTGGAGCCCTGCTGGGGATCCTCAGGGCAATTCCTGCCAGCACGGTCACAGGGGGGGACCCTGTGGGCTGAGGAGCTCCTGCTGTCACCGCCGATGACAGCCCTGACCAGGCTGGCAACCTCCTGGGGCGGCTGCTGAGCCACCAGGATCCTCTCCCACTTGAAGGGCCCGTCCAGGGGAGTCTCCGTCTCAAAGTTGAAGTTCCAGCGCTGCTGAGCTTCCTCCAGCTGCTGTCTCATCTCGTCCTCAAAGTCGTTCTGGAGCTGCTCGTGGTCCACGGGGCCAAAGAGGTTCCTGCACACTTTGCTGCTGCACGGGGTCTGCCCAGCCCTGCTCTGGGAMAGCGGCATCGTGGCGGCTGCAGGGAAACCAGAGCAAGTTACGGGCTTGGGATCACGGGAGAGAGCACAGGGGGGTGGTGGCTACCAGGGCAAAGCACAYGGTAGCCAAGGTGGGACAAGCTGGGCTGGGCTCTGCAGCGAGGGGATGACACATCTGGGCTTGGATTTTCAGGATTTTAACAGAGGCTGAGGTCAGGCACAGCCCAGCAGGAGGACGGGGAAGGTGAACATTCCCAATTCCTTCCCTGCCAGGTCAGAGCAGCCGGCACTCGATTCTTCCACAGGCTCCATCCACAAGCCCTCATTCCCACTGCCACACAAAGGGCAAAAGCAAGTTGGCACACGGGCAGGTGAAGCAACAGGATGTTTTTCTGACCAGTTTCTTCATCTCGAGAGCCCAGACCCAGTGGTAAGGAAACCTTCAAGCAACTGCAAGAGCACGCCACAAGCTTGACCACTTTGCTAACCACCCTCCTTATCTGCAAGGAGCTGTTGGGTAACCAGAGACAGGACCTTGTTTGTTTTTTTTCAAATCGGTGCCAAAAAGCCTTGACCTTCCCAGTAAGTGGCACAGCCTTTCTCTCTGAGAAATCCTTCCCCTGACAGGTGTGGGGGTAATGGATCCCTCGGTTAGGGGGAACCTCGACACAGAATCAGAATTGTGGAGGTTGGAAAACACCTCCAAGATCRTYAGGCCAGCTGATAAGRGTCAGCACTGCTCTGGGATTTGMRTTTTCAGARCTAAACCTCGCCYCTGCTGGGACAGCCACACTCACCAAATCTGCTCAGAAAGGAAAAATTCACAGCTCCCACTGCCCAACAAACCTGGGACCCCCAAAGCCAGACCACAAAAGATCCTCCCCATCCCCAAACTTCCCCAAGAAACAGGCCATCAGCTTCCTGCAGGGAGGATTTCTCCCCAAATTCTGCACCTGCAGCCCCTCTGGATTCCTGTGCTGCATTGTCTTTCCCAGATTCCACCCACAGAAGAGTTCAAGAAATGACTGGATGTGGCACTCGGTGCTCTGGTCCAGCTGATAAAGTGAGGATCAGAGGATTCTGGAGATCCTTTCCAGCCTTAACCATTTGATAATCCCATTACCAGGCTCGGTGTGCCAGTGGGCAGCTGGACAATCCCCGGCCCGAGGGGCCACACTCTGTCCCTGGGGCCACCCCATGCTCAGACTCAGCATCCCCGAGTAAAAATAGAAATCAGCTTCCTATCTCCGGGCAGTGTGAGAGCACAAACAGCGTGACCTCACTGCCAGGCAAGTCCCAGCATGTCCAGGCAAGCCCGGGCAGGTAGCGGGAGGGGGACAAGTTCCRTCACCCTGGCCGGACACCCCCCAGCCCTCCCCGCCTGCGTCATGTGCCGATGTCCCCATCCTCAGGTCGCCGACGCCACTCAGGTGCCACCCCGGAGCCTCAAGATAACACCCTGCCCTGACTCACGGCTGCGGATTGCCAAAGCCACCAAGGAGGGAGGGGCCAGGGCCGGGTCATCGTCCCCTCCCTTGGGGCTGGCGCCGCTTCCAGCGACCTCTGCCCAGCAAGAGCTCCGAGGCTCCGGGCAGCCGCCCGGGCACCCCAAGATTTGGGAAAGGAAGTGGCAGGTGCACGGCCCCATGAGAACCTCTGCCAGGCGAGCTGGTGATGAGGGCACCCTCGGGGTGACACCCATCTGTGCTCCACAGACACCTGCGAAACCCAGGACCAGTCACACCAGTTTGGGGGAGGCTGGGCGAGCAGGAGGGGCTGGGGGCACCCGCACCCGGGAGAGGCTGAGCCCGCTGATTCCGCGCAGAGAACGCCTGGTTAACCACACCGATGTGCCCGGGGGGGCTGGCACGGGGGTGGCCGGTCCCGCCCGGCCCCGCAGGATGCTCGGCGGCGGCACCGCACCGCGCCCCGCACCGCGCTCCGAGCCCCTCACCGGGCACCGCGCCCCAAGACCCGCACCGCGCCCCGAGCCCCGCACCGCGCCCCGAGACCCGCACCGCGCCCCGAGACCCGCACCGCGCCCCGAACCCCACACCGCGCCCCGCTGCCGCCACCGGGG